CCTGTGCAATCCCCCGTTTTTTGAGGGAACGGATGGAAACGCGATTAAAAAGTTTTAATAACTACCGTTTGGCGAAGGAGTTGTGTAAATAAAGTGGAAACAGACTTCAATTAATAGCCTTCGATTAATCCCGAAACCTAGTTACTTTAAATCTCTTTAAATTGAATTCTATCATAGTCGTTCGATTCATTTGATGCGCAATGATGTGGATGTGCAGTACCTCTACTTGTTTAGAATTCAATTTCTTTAAGGAAAAGATATTCGTGCGAAACTCCACTCTAAACTCCCTTACTTTATTTACCGAGGAGAAAGAAAACGCGACCGGGTTGCGATATATTTACATTTTATTTGTCGACATTTTGAGAGAGGGCCGTTCCCGAAAACTAAAACTGTATGTTAATGGCATCGGTTTCGTCTTAAGCAGATTACGCACGCACATTCCTTTATTGCGTCGTTTACATAATGCAAATCACTTGTTGATACTTTTCGACTTTTTCATTTTCAAGCCAAAATTGTTTCAATCTCCATAAATTACGTATACATTTCGTGGGCTGGAAAATGCCCTTCAGTGACTTCGAATAATGAAAAGTGTGCCGTGAGTAATGACTATGGGGATCATTCAAAATGAGTAATGGGTTTGCTAGACACTATTCACTTTAGTCATTTGGATCAAAATATAAACTTCTGTTTAATTAACAATTCAAAAAAGGTTTTCAAACAAGCTTAATTTCTTACTAAGCGGAATAAACGTTAGAGGAAGAAGAATTTTACAAAGGCCCCTTTTTTAAGACGAATCATGCCTCTTACGTTGTAACGTTAATTTTGAATTTACGAGTTATGTGGTTTTTGCTGATATTATGCATTGGGATTTGGGAAAAAAAACCAAATCTCACAAAAACGATTTCTTTTTCATACGTACGTCAAATGTAACATTTTGCTAGGAGCAGAGAAGCGGAAAAGAGGCAGAGAAAGTTTACCAAACAACAATTTGTAATAAAAATTTCGGTAGTCTGTAACCAAGGGAGGGAATTACAATAAAACCAAAATTTTAAAAAATATGAGAGTCGAAAAGTACAAAAACAATAGTTCATGCAGAGGTTTTGAACCTCGGTAGCTTTAAATTTCAACTTTAAGCTTAAAATTTGTGGTGTGGGGATTGTACAAGAACTTAAGAATGTTGCACAAAGAATGTAATTCTGAAGCGAAATATTTTGCCTCGAGATTTAAGTTTTAAATCTTTGGGACTGAAGTGATTCACGAGCTGATTCTAAAACGAAATGTCTATTTTTAAATCTAACGTTAAATTTTTCGTTATCATTGAGGTCATTAATTTTAAAATTTATGGAGTGAGAAATAAAACATAATTTAAAATCGAAGAAATTTCCAAATAAAAGTAATTTCAAGCTGAATCCGTGTTAGGAAACATTAAAAAAAAGTACACAGCGATTTTGAAGTTCGGAAGCAGTTTGCAACTGTAATTTTATTTATGAATATAATTTTCCGTTGAAAATCCAAAATTATAAAATTTTCCGTTGTAATCAATAAAGTCGAAAATGAAAAATTTGAGAAGGGGGCACAAAGAAGTATTTTAAGCTGCAATTCAGAAACGACTAATCCAATTTTTTACGCAACTTTTGCCTTTTCTAACAGAAAAATAATCAGTCCTGACTTTTAAGAACTTTTTCCGCCGTTTCTAAATATACAGGGTGAACATTTTGTTTGGAACAAAACAAAGAAACTTAAAAAAAGCCACCTAGATAACTTCTAAGTAAATTTAAAAGAAGTGCACAACGGAGTTTTAAGAAAGTATTAATGGAACTTGAAGAGGTTTTCAACAGAATTTAAAAAAAAACTGGAAAAATCAACCAAGTAGCTTAGTAAGTAGTAGAGTTATAAGTTAGTGGCATGCTATATGTATCGAGGTTTACATTCTTGGTAGATTAATGGAGAGAGGGCTCTTTACGCATAAACATTTAGAAGCGCCTGGCATACATTCAAAATCTACTCTATATAATGCAAGAAGAATCAAGCAATTCTCCGAAATATTGCAGTTTCCCTTTGTAGGTACCTTCCCCAACATTTTCGAGATATTCACATTTAAGTTTTTGCATGGCCAGTAGATGATCTTTCCGCCCTTTAAGAATCCTCCTCCGACAGGCCGTTCCGCAGATATTTGCACTGGAAGTTTTGACATCACCATTGCATATATTTCTTCCGGACGTCCTAGCCGCCCTTCGTGAGTACCCTTCTGCGACAGTCTTTTCTTAAGATGTAAAGAATTATATCCGACCACTATAAGGGGTCGAGGAGGAGGACTATGGTTGGTAGAAATTAATTCCTATCGTTGAGACGTTTCATTAGAGTACCATGAAGGATAAAACCAGTTTCACCCCATCCTTCCAAACCCCTCTTTTGATAAGGAGTCGGAAAGAAGGGCGGTAGTTGGTAGGCAACAGTTCCTTTTGTTGAAACCACTCCTTCGGTCATCTACCACCCACTGATTCCGTAAAAGAGTCGCGAAGGAAAATGAGAGCTCGTACAAATCAAATCAAAAATGTTACTTGGCGCCACTATAAAAATCTGAGTAATGTACACTTTACTTTCAAAAGGCCATTTGGCACACCTTCAAGGTATAGGGTATTTATTGTAAAATTCCAGGATTCTGACAATAACCTAAAAGTAGTTCAACGCGACAGAAGTGGGGCCGGACAGACGGACGGAAGGACAAAACAACACCACATTTTTTAATACCCTTAAGAAACATTCCACAGATATTTAAATACTTAGACTTTAGAGGGTTGCAATTATTTAAATGCTACCACCCCAAATGCCGACAGAACAAAAGAAAGAGCAATCAATTAAATACTAGGTGTAGCAACCAAACTTATTATTTCTTGCTCCTCCTTATGGTGCATTTTTAATTTAAAAAAAATGTGCCATTAGGTATTTGCGTTTTATCCGTCCATCCATCCGTCTGCCCACCCGGACCCAATTGTACGGTTTTGAAGTACTTTTAATTTTGTTATCTTGGGGGGGGGGGCACAAATTATTTCCCGAGACTATTATGCGACAATCAAGACACCAAATTGTATATTAGAGGAAGAAACAAAAATGGAAAAGATAAGGATAGCGTCGGGGCGTCGTGCGCTAAGATTCGAGAAAAGGGGTGATAGAGCACGCGAATTGGTGAAAAGATGCTTGAGGGTGAGTGCAAAAGGAATGTGGGAAGAACAAAGAGGAAAATATTACGAAAGAAATAGATACGGACGGGCTGAGGTCGACAGGAGGAGAGGAGTAGGAGAAAATACAACAGAGGGTGAAGATATAGAGCGCACGCGGAAGCAGTAATAAAGGAGTGGTCACCAACATATTTGTGAAAAGTAAAAAAATATAAAAACCATATAGCGAGATTCGGATGCGGAATGAGAAATGGACACAAGAAGAGGAAATGTATAATAAGCTGAGAGGAAGAAAAGGACATAGAACACAGTTACGGAACTGTACGGGGGTGGAAATGACAGGTAGCAGTAGGAGTGAGGTACCGAAGCTGTTAATTTGTAAAAAGTCTTGACAATCTGGCGTCAAATAGAGTTTTATTGATTGTTTGGTACTCTCTATAACCCACTAAGCTATTTAGGTGGAAAAAATTTCCTTTATCTGCACAAGATTTATGCACAATTCATGCCTACTTATTTTATTAATGCACAGTTTGCTGGTTTCAAGTTTGGGCTGGATGAATAAATGTTAATTAGCTGTAATTAAACAAAGCATTACTCTTTCATGACATGCTTCACTAGATACACGTTTACTACCCTGATGATATGATGGTAGCTTAGTGCATCCAATTAAATGGTAATAAGAGCTAATTAAATAGTTATCTATATCAAAGTCAAAAAAATGGCACCTTACTGGCGAGGAAATATTGAAGTACGAGGTCCCTTTGAGGCCGAGTACTTGAATTTCCGAGTATGTAGTGTCATTTTACTGATGAGTGCCCTGTTGATTTTAACTACTTGAATTTATTAACGTCAAAGTAAGAGAATTTAAGTGTACTAATTTTACATTCACTTGGTGCCTTTTGAAAGCGCAATTTCGTTCTTAGCGTGTTGTCAATTACAGATAGGATAAAATATATTGGAAGTAATAGTAATGGCAGATGCTGGGAAAATGCCGGAACATTAAATTAATGGTTTCATTGAAGGTACCTGAAGTATGCCACCAACGGCATCTCTAAACAAACAATTAGCAACAATAATCAAATCAGTCCGGACCAGCTCCTCAAATTCGAACATACAATTGAATTTCCAAAGTCGTAAATTAGCGCTACGGGATAACTTCGTAACAAAAAGGTAATTACGTATTCTTCATGTCGTTTCATCAAAAACGCCGGAACAATAAAGCGCGACAATAAACATTTTTATTTGCTCCGTTTGATACGAAATAAGTCGCATTGTATACATTTAGGGGATGTACTAGGGAGCAAATTGTAATCCTCTTTGATATTTAAAACGAGAAATTCTAATCACCCCCAATCTTTTCAGGAGAGAAAAAAATTAAGTTATACGAATTGGCTTGCTTTTCAATTTTCGGGAATCTACATACGCAGAGGCCAACCTTAAATATATATAGGTGTACCCAAAGTGCTTTTTATCTCATTGGAATAAAGAATTCAATTTGATTGAAAAGCGGGTAGACTGAAAATTCCGCTGAAGGAATTTTCTATTGCCTTCATTTCCCCATTTCAAAATGTAGTTATAAAATATGAAACCAATAAAACCGCCTATGGTTCCTGCTGGGAAGAAGCCTTATATACATTTGGCCCAAAATTTAAACTACTTTACATATCCTAAAATGAAGAAAGTTCTTTTTGGCGCGTGGGCGGGCCGGGCAGGTTTTGCAATTAATATTCGATTACGCGAGTCCCACGTATAAACATTTTTTGCAGAAGACAGGTCGAAGGCTTGCGATCTAAAAGATGAAATTTGTTAATAGCGTTCTACCTTTTATCAATTGCAGTAATCCATTCCATAATTTAAATTTTAAAATTGCCGGGCACTTTTTCGAAACGAAATTTATGTATGGACGACTCGAGTTCGATTCGAATTTACGAACATGCCGAAGGCTTATGGAACGCGGTCGCGCAACAACTGGCTGCATGCGGCCCGTGCCCTTTCGAAAGATGTGCGCAGGACTTAATAAGGATTGCTGCAGTAAAATATTCGCATTGTTTAAATAATAAATGAAGCAAGTAATACAAACCATACTAAAGATACTCCCTATTGAAACGGCAAGCCAAAAGAACCACTTCTACCGTATTCATTAATCAAACCGATGCATACTAATCGCATACATTTACATACTTCATTTAAAACAGTAAGCAGTTCTTTGTACGTAATTAAAATTCATTTCTTTCCCACTTCTAGCGATAAATAAGACAGTAATTTTATACGTTTCAAAGTTTTGTTGAGGGTCTTCAAAAGAATTTTAATGGAGGTGCAAAATCAATACACCTTCTTTTTGCTGAAGATACAACCCGACCAATTTGGGTAGCTCGCCAATATTACCTCATGTAGTAGTTTTCATATTTTCCGACTCATTTCTTAACAGCGACCGAGAATATTGCAATACCTCTGCCGGGTTGTAGTTATCTTTTGGAAAAGCATGTCATTTCGTCCGATGTGGAAATTTTGCGTCGATTAGTCCTTATATCTCGAACCTACGAATATGTAGCAACATAAAGACTAAATTCGTAAAGCAGTTTGCAGAAGATTCGGTTTCAATTTGCCCCCGTCCGAATATTATCTAAGTACTAGGTGGTTCCCGTCGATTTTTGTGAGAAAATTTGACTATATAAATTTCTTTTCCGGAAATTGACACTTAAGCAAATCTATCGCATCCTGAAGTCGTGTGCATATATTATGAAACACCCTGTATTTACTGTTGCGTGGAATGACAGTATGAAAATATTTACGTGCGTGTAAAAAAGTATTAACACGATATATTTTTGCCTTACAGAGATATGAGGGAAAATATATGTAATTTATAATATTCGCCCCGAAATCAAGTAGGCGTGCTTTATTCTTTGCTGAGCATTAAAATAAGGGTAACTGTGGAAACAAAATACTATCAGGCAATATTTTTAGTTGACCCAGATGAATGTTTCCAGTAGTTTTAAGTCTATGGATTACTTTTAATAGAATAAGAAGAAACTGTGTAATGTATACCCTACATTTCGCACACACGCCATTTATATCAAAGGTTTAAACATTATTTATTTTTAAAACAAACTTTGAACGATAAAACAACATGTAACCTACCAAAGAGAAAATAATGTTTGATTTTGTTTTCCAACCTTTTTAAATAATTCGAAGTTGTTTTTTATCAAAAATAAATAAAAAAGTTAAGGGTTTCTTTCATCTTTTAGGAAGTCTAACCCTGTACAGGGTGGTCCTTTCTTATAGAAACACTCATTACTTTAAGAGATCAGAATTCAGCCATCCCTAATCGTTTGGCCGCTAGGGGGCGATTTTCATTATTATTATTATTCATTTTGGGAAAATCTTTCTTAAAGCACTTTTTACGACTGGCTATCTGGAAATGTTTATTAGTTTTTTATTTTGTATTTTTATTTTTATGTGGCCTATGTATACTTTTCAATAATAAAATGTCTTCTGGAGGGCCCTTATTGTATGCACACAAAATAACTTCTTAAAACAAATTTTAAATCTGGCTGTCATATTAAATAATGGGAGTATTGTTGCTTTGGCTTCACAGAAAATAAATCTCTTACACTCCTACTACCGCAAATAGTTGGGTGGACATAGTTAATAAATCGCAAGTCTGACGGCATTTAATGAGCCATTTTTGAAACGTGCATTTATAAGGGTAAAAATGTCTGCTGAACCCGAATTCGGATGTTGCCAAGCTGATTTTTGGCTAATTTCAAAATGGCGGCCAATATGGCGGCCAAATATATAAATTTTTATGCCAAACGCATTTTACATAGTTTTTCGGATTGAGGTGTTAAAAAAGCATACAGGAGGCACAGAAAATTGCAAAACTTATATATTGGGTACATTATACAGACAACACGGTAACAATATAGAGATAATTCTGACGGCAAATGTATTACCCTCGGGTATTACCTATATTTCGTGCCTATGTATCAAATTTTATTTAAATACTTTCATAAATAAAAAAGTTCAAAAAGGGCACTGTGAATGTAGAATTGATTAGGCCCAACTTTTGGCATTGCGTATTATATGGCTAAAACTATGCTCTCGACTATGCCCATATTGAATGTCATGCAATTCGGTTTATAACTAACGGAGATGTCAAAAGGGCCTTCTTTATTTTTTTACGTACATTGCCAATTCACGAACTCCGATCTATAACTCTGATAAAGAATCCAAATGCAAAATTTCACCATAATCGGCGGTCCAATCGTTTTCGAGGTATCGTGCTAATGAACCGATCTCGGGACAGATGAACAGGCACCGCAAAATTGTAAATTCTCTACGTCCTAGGAGATCGTCAATAATTTGAAAATGTTGGTTATTCAAAATATTTTTGCTATAATGTTTTATAAAGAATTTAATAACCTGTCATATTATGTAATAATACACAGGGTGTTCCATATCAAAGTCACATTTTTGTTATCATCTGAAAAATGCGATGTGGTTTTGTTTTTTTTTGCAGATTTGAATTCATTGGAAAAAATACGCAATTTTTATTTATATATATTTATATATACAGGGTGGTGACTTGCGTAACGCATCATAGGGATTTCAATGTAAAATTCATAACATTCGATTATTGGCTCCCCAAATTATTTTAGAGCAAAATTGTATTAAGGTTTTTTGTAGAAAAAAATTTTTTACGTCAATCAACCGTATTAGTTTTCAATTTTTTGCATAATAAAGAAAGAAAATTGGAAAAATAAAACCCGCACCTTTTTCAATAGTCGGTGATGCCATGGAATTTTATAATACAAAAACTACGCCAATATCCGTCATGCCATGGAACGTCTGCTATAAAACAAATCAAATTCTATCAAAAAGTATTATATTTAGAACAGCGAATTCAACATAAAGAAAGACCAAATTACTAAAAACGGTTTCCTAATATAACAATTTACAATAAATGTTCGAATAAGTCACCATTAACTGCCAGACAGTAATCAAGTCGATCATAAAATCCATTTCGAACTGCTGCCTTAGACCACTAAAATGGAAAACTAATACGGTTGATTGACGTAAAAAATATTTTTCTACAAAAAAATTAATACATTTTTGCTCTAAATTAATTTGGGGAGCCAATAATCCCATGTTATGAATTTTACATTGAAATCCCTATGATGCGTTACGCAAATCACCACCCTGTATAGTTGGAAAAAACCTTACTTACCAACGGTTATTAAAAAGCACAAAATTTATAACAAACAAAATTTGCCGAGGAAAATGTAAAACACTAATTTAATTAATTCACAGCTTTTATGGGACACCCTATATATCACCACGGGATATATTTCCCTACATTTTCCGAACTAGCTGTGAAGTTAATTAACCCTGTAATTAACCAACTCTTACGTATATATAAGTAATAAACCCGGTAATAAATAATGTAAAACAATTTAATATTAAATAGTACACAATACAATAGATAGTGGCGCCATCGTGCTATATTTGTGAACTAGTGCAAAATTCGGCCTGGCAACATCCAGAATCGGATTCAGTACATTTTTTTACATCTAAAAAACCATGTGGCCAAAATGGCTCATAAAATGCCGTTAGAACTAAGAAACAGAGTCGTTTTTCGATTTGGCCACTTAATTAAAATGGCAATATCAACTTTTTCTTCGGTTGAATACAATAACATTACGAAAGACAGCCAAATATTTATTTGTTTTAAGAAGTTATTTTGGTTGGATAAAAGTAGTACATATCGAAATTTAGGAAATTTTACGCTGTTTTCAAAAACTCTAAAATATATAGGGTGATCCGTATGAAAAAATGTAGTTTAGGGTCGTAAGAAAGCCAAAACTCTTTAAAAAAAACTGTGTATCGCAATGAATTCTACATAAAAAGTGTTCTAAGAAAGACAAAATCAATTATCTTTAATAATAAGAGTGGGGCATTATAGAAATCGACTAAATTCGAGAAACGGGACCCTAACGGCCAAACGATTAGAGATGGCTGAATTCTGTTTGCGCTACTGATTTTCCCTTTAAGCTCTTTGAGCTTCAAACCTTCTTCTATTGTTGAAGTACCCAATTTTTAACGAAATTGCAGAGCTTCTCAAACTATAACTTTTTCGAGAACGCTTAGTGTCACGTATTTTTTTAGTTTACCTACTCTACCTACAGAACTTGTTCAATTCAACAAATTGGACCTACTCGATACAAAATAAGTACTTACAGGATAATTAAAAGTAAATAACCACCTAAGGGAGGATGTTATTGCAATGTATACGGTCTTAAAATTAGCACCCATTAAATTATGATTTGAGCGACAATAACTACATAAATAAATTGTAAATTATTTATTAACCCGTTGTTATGCAAATTCGCATTGTGGATAAGCCATTGCAAGTATAATAACATTAAATTCAGGTCAACGTTGGAGTACGACAAAAGTCAATTTTGCTGAATGTTTTAAATTATCATTTTAATGGGAATGTCCTCTAAATAAAATACAATTTATTTTTATCACCTGATAATTTATCGAAATTAGCTTATTAAGATTATATCAACAATTATTTTAAATTTGATTGTTTGAGTACCATTGGTAAATTACTCGTTTCCTTGAAATTGATGTATTGTATTGATAAATTATCATTATAAAATCAATTATTGTTTGCCTTCCGTTTGTTTCCGAATTTTTCTCATCCCTGTTTAGGTATGCACCCCCTTGGAATTGGTTCTCGCGAAACTGTTATAACAGGAATTCAATTTTGGGAACCTATTTAAGGATGGCTTTCAAACGAAACGCAACCCTTGTTTTGGTATCTTCTCCCCTACTCAAAACATCATTTTATTTATTCCAAAGAGCAAACTGTTGTCACACGCAATCTCAGTTGAAATCTACTATTTACAATAATGTCCACCGACCTACCCTAAGGTGTGAAAAGGGAGTTTA